GTCCGGCGGGGAAAAGGCCAAGGCATTATAAAAGCACTATTTTACATTTCATCTGTCTTATCTAGATCTTTCATATCCAAATAATAAAAAGCTTAAGATAAACTTGAGCTTTGTTATCTTTCATAAAGAATAAGAAATAATGACTTTAATTCTCAAGTAAACTTGAAGGGCAAGGGTTTTTAAATTAAAAGAAGTAACAGAAACAAAACAACCAAACCCCCTCCATCCTCAGATATAAAGGTTACAGTCCACCAGCTGTGAGCCAGACGGGTCAAGATTTGCCAGGCCACGGCAGCCCGGCGGCCTGAAGCGCCGACAAAGGCACCACGGCACGAAGGCACCGGGGAGCGCGAGCGGAGCTTGCCCAGGGCGGAGCAGTCCCTGCGCCCGCGCACTTATCTCGGATCAAGAGGCACTTTAATGCTGTCGGTACGTGCGGGGTGGCTCAGGCTGATCTGCAGAGACAAGCCCCGCGTGGCAGCACCCTGGCGATCGCTACGTCACCCTGCCAGCTTCTGCAGAGAAACGTTCTCGTACTCACCACAGTCACTGTGTGACGCTCCTCACTGCGTCAGCGCTTTTTGCACCAGCTGACCCTGGCAAAGTCACCCAGACCCCCCAGCAGGAGCTGCACCAGGGCTGTGCCTTGAGGCTTCCTCAAGGGACATTCAGTTTGGGGCAGTTTGGGACGGGTCCAGAGCTCAGCCCCCGGGTCTGAGGCTGCTGTGGTGCAATGGCCTGAAGAGCCCATTGGCTGTTGTCTGAGGTCAGGCCCAGGAGAGCTGACGGTACCTGCAGGTGGGTTGTTAACCGGGATGAAGAACGGAACTCGCTGTGCTTCGGGGATGAGCCTGGCATTTCCAATACCTGACAAGCATTTGTGGTTTGCTGTTCCCTTCACACCCAGCCCTGCTGGAGGCAGGGTCAGCGAAGTAACCAAAGGTCGGTAACGGCTCTGGGACCAAGTGGCAGCTGCCACGCTTACCACGGCAGGTCACAGTCCACCCACTCTTACCTAGAACCCACTAGGTGACACGAGCGGCATCGGGTCACTCACTCAGCTGGAGAGAAAAGGCTCGAATCAGCAGATCAGAGAAACCTTTTCTCTGCTCCTACGCAGCAAAACAGCGAGAGCTACGTGCAGAACCCGCAGTGCCTGAACACGATCCAGCCCATTAACGGTGTCAGCTGAGCGTCAGGTCCAACAGATTTAAAAGAGCAACTTCACAGAGACTCGGCGATTCCATTTACTGTTACCTCCTGCACCCCACGTTAAACCTTCACTTCTCTCCAACGCAGGAAATCTGCTGCCCACTGCTCTCTCCCTGTTTATAAGGCTCAGACCTGCTGCAACACTCACTGCCTCGAGGTGGCCACGAAGGGACATCACAGGCTGGTGGCACCTCAGGGATTCCCACCTGCAGTGGGCTGACACCATGGAGATGGGAGGAGAAGTTCCCCTGACCCTGGTTTAGAGACAAGACCCAGCGCACAGCGCGACAAGCTGTTACATGTCCCAGGAAACACATCAGCTGCCATCTGGAGGTTTGTCAAAGCACATTTTGTTAGAAAAACTTTAAACCAAATACCTGTCTCCTGCTG